CGAATAGGGAGCATGGACTCCCCGATATAGACTCTGTCCCTGCCATGTTTTTCGCAGAGTTTATACTTGATTTCATAAACCACGTTTTTCCGTGCAAACCCCTTGAAGCCCGGGCTTGCATAAATGACATCTTTTGCCGCCCGGACACATAGGCTTTAAGATGAATTGACGTTAATTTAGTCTAGTTTCTTGATTGGTCTTAGACTAGTCTTGAAATAGCCTCAAATGTGAAATATTCATTTCCAGAAAGTGCCATAACCGAGTATGTGAGTACCGGAAGAGTTTTTAAAGTGGCGGATAGATATGAAAGAACACCATGTCAAAAACCCAAAACACCAGCAATTTACGATGTTTGGCCCAGCGAACACCTTCAACACCGTGCTTTAGGTTCTATGCGGGTTTGATTTACTTCAAATAAGTGCAACGACGGCTAGTTTGGCAGCACCTCAACGTAATACAAACGGACCATGGTGCGACCAGTGGCACATTGTAGTGGGAAATGGATTAGACCAACTGGTAAAATGTCAAACAGGATGGAAGTCAAGTGGCAAAAGGCTAAAAGATAGTAGTCAAACGCAAAAGATCAAATAGGGACACGTAAAATGGGATTAAAGTCAAATGGATAAAAGTAAAACGACAAAAAGTCAATAGGACAACAAACCAAATGGCAAAAAGTCAAATTCTAAAAGATCAAAAGATAAAAGTCAAATGTAAAAAGTCAAAAGATAAAAGTGAAATGTAAAATATCACAGAGGTGAAAGCCAAAAGGGATAAGGACTACATCAATACTAGCCTTCCCACCTGCCTCCCACTTCCCTTGTAGCCTTCCCCACTGGAATGTAAAAGGGAAAAGACAACTGTAAGAAATCCAAGTTAAAATGAACGAGTTGTCTGGAAGCTCTGAAGCAATTAAGCTAAAAAAGCTTTCGTTCATTGCGCAGGACATTTTCAGCTTAACACGCGCTTGGGTGGCGCTCAATTTAACCCCCTAGATATTTTTTGGGGAATAGTTTCCGAACGGCGCAGCGTAGCCACTCCAAAGTCTGCGCAGCTTTAGACAACTGAATAGCGGATCTATCCGTATCACACATTTGTATGTACCTTGTAAGGTCACTGACCTACAGCAGGTCAAATTCAGGCCATGGATTCAGCAAATCGATTTCTAAGGAGTCTTTCAATCTAGTGCAACAGCGGTGTGTTAGACGTAGCCATTCATTTCTGAGATGCTTTCTTAGGCAACACATTAATGGAGAAAAAACATTGATCTAGAGTCAGGTATGTAGGTCGTATCTACGCTAAAACCAACTTGTTTTGCTACTCTAGAGCTTCCTGTATGAGGAAATTCTGGTGCTCATTTCGAATTTACTAATAGCAGGAAGCGCGTTATACATGCTCCATGGACTTCTTAAAGGTCAGAGCAGGCCGCTGACCTAAAGTGACCCAGGTCATCACTTTGTTTTTAGGGACATACTGCCTAGCGTAATCTTTATTGCTTGTTCAAATGCAAAACCCAAAGCATTTTTGCATGCTTTTGGTCACCATGACCTTCGAAAGGTCAAACAAGGCCACTGACCTTAAATGAGAATGTAGCCTTTTGCTTAGAACAAGTATCCAGGTTTTGGAGCACTTTTATACCAACCAACCAACCAACAACGTTTGACATTGCTTGACCTTATCTGAACCGAGGTCATGACCTCAGAACCTTACACTTTGGTCCAAGTGAGATCACATAAATGCAAACGCATCCTGCAATTTTGTGTTTCTAGTTCTCTTAGTGTTTTTGAGATTTCAGGGGGCCAAATTGCTTCTCCCCCGAACCAAGAGCATGCAACCGGCCACCCGTGCGCGTGTTTAATCCAGGGAACTTCACGACCTCTGCATAGCTATGACGCCTGTGCGTGTCATTTACGATCAGGCTGGTCCTCGTTAGGTGTTCAGCGCATTTGCGAGGAACATTATTGTCATAAATAGGACAGAAGTAATGGCCTTGTTCTTCGGAGAAAATCAGCTTGAAACTTAAATTGAAGATATTGGAGCAGGCATCAGATTTGATGAAACAAGCTCATTTTTAACCATTGGTATACTTTTAAGCAGAAAAACCGCTCTAGACAACACAATCTCTCTGTTTAGTAAATATGCGGCTCAGAATGTCACAGCGCCTTGCATAACATTGATTGAGGGCCATTTAACAGTCGTTATGTCTGGAAATCGACTCACGAACGCCAGCTACGAACAACTGCACCATTCTATTTTTATTGGCATTGATCAACGCATGGCCTACAAAGTGACGGGATTTGAATTGTGCTACCATGACGCCATGAATGCCAAGGTGACCTTGAAATACTCTCACCGAAATAGTCTCCCCATCTTAACGGGCGCGTGGCTAAAAAACTAAATGGGTTTAGATCTTAGGAACGGCAGGGCTGTGAACTGCACCGAATGATCTTCAAGATGGCTATGTTAGTTAAAAAACCCACAGGAATATGTAGCAATGCTTTAAAGGGTGTGTTCCAAATTTCGATGGGGTCTTGAACCGAAATAACCATGTTGAAGATAATTAAATGTCTTTTACAGCCTTGCCGTTTTCAATACCTAAGCCCCTATAGTTTCTGAGCGACACGCCCACGAAGATGTGCAGACTGTTTCAAGGTCACACAGGCATCCATAACGCCATAATAACGTTCTTCAAATCTTGCCGATCCATCATCCATGCGGAGATCAAGGCCAAAGAAAATATAGTTGTCGAGTCGTTCATATCTAACATTCGTGAGCACGATTTCCAGATATATCTACCGTCAATTGGCTCTCATTCAATGTCGTGAACGGTGCGATGACGTAATTAAACAATGACTTATTGACGAGCAGATGTACTTAACAGAGGAATTGCTTTGTCTAGGGCAGCCTTTTCCACTTACAAGCGTACCAAGAGTTCTAGATGAGCTCATTGTATTGTATCTGATACTTGTTTCGATCTTCAAATGCGGAACATTTCCTTTTGCAGTGACGTAAGAATGACCTGTTTTGGAAGGGTCACAGTGGCCGTAATCGATGTCTAATCATAACCCGATATCCCCACGGTGTGATCGGAACTCCAGATATCTGATGCGCTTCAGAGCGATCACGGGAAGCGTTCGAGGGGTGCTTGGACAGCGCGTGGAGCGACATCGTGCTGGAGGACAGAGATGCATCTCGGCCGTGCCTTTGCTTGGATGACCCGCAGTGTTCTCTAGCTATGGAGAGCAATGCTGGCGCGCGCTGTGCGAGACGAGGAAGAGGTGTCCCTTTTGTTTGTTCTGTCCCAGACCCTCTTCGTAAAAATTGCTCAGCAAGTCGAGTGTAAGTCAGCACAGTCGGTGCTGATTTTCATTGAACGAGCCCTGTGTGGGATCCATCAGTCTCCAAGAATACCGAAGAGAGCCCAGGAGCTGATGAAAAGGTTCGCTTAGTGGACGAAGCAGCTGCTATAGCAGGTGGACTTGCCCGTGCTAGGAATGCGGGTAATGGATCTGGATTGACGCTGTCGCCGGCCCCCGGTACGACACTGGTATTTTTCTTGAGGGTCCGAACTTGTCGACCCGGGTCAGTTCTTGTTTATTCATTTAAAGTGTTCAATGTCTTGTGGTCTGTCGAAGTTTGGTGCCATTCTGTTTAACTGCCGGCTTATTTCGCATTCCGGATGTTCCACATGACCAGGTCGCTGCGATCCATTTTTTGTCGAAATTTCAGTGTCGTCAGTCTTTGTCGAGATGCTACGCTTGCCAAGTTTCCAGCTGGGGGAAAGACTGGCTGGCCCTGTAGTCGACGTGATCGGTTTGCTGATGCCGGGCAGTTTGATGAGGTCAGCGGGACCATTTGTCGTCTGCTCAAGTTTGAAGCCAGTAATTTCAAGCGTAGAACCTGACTTGACTTGTAGTTAGACCATCTGATGCATGCGTTTTGTTAACTGATGCTGGACAGCTGGGTTAGCTTGTGACTAATTTCTGAGTTTGGATGCTTTAAATGTCAAAGGAAACCCTGATTTGCCCACATTGTATGTATGTCTGATCGAAAGGAATGCAAGTTGTACAGGTGTGACGATCGGTTGACCGTCACACCGTCACGGTCGGTTGACCGTCACACCGTCACGGTCGGCTGACCGTCACACCGTCACGGTCGGTTGACCGTCACACCGTCACGGTCGGCTGATCGTCACACCGTCACGGTCGATTGGCCGTCACACCGTCAAGGTCAGTTGACCGTCACACCGTCACGGTCGGTTGACCGTCACACCGTCACGGTCGGCTGACCGTCACACCGTCACGGTCGGCTGACCGTCACACCGTCACGGTCGGTTGACCATCACACCGTCACGGTCGGCTGATCGTCACACCGTCACGGTCGGCTGACCGTCACACCGTCACGGTCGGTTGACCGTCACACCGTCACGGCCGGTTGACCGTCACATCGTCACGGTCGGTTGACCGTCACACCTGTACAGTTTGCATTCCCTTTGTCCAGCTTGCATTTAGAGGAATGCGAGGTGAGCAAACGCGACTCCATTTATGGAGTATTTTAATCGCGGCGTATCATCAGCAGATCAAATGGATATCCATCATAGTTTGAAGAGACTCCTGCAAAAGGGATATGACACCATTCCCTAAAACGACGCTGTGCAGGGATGCGATTTGTCCCGCTCTGCACTGGAATTTTTTTGGCGTAATTTTCGGTGTAAAAAAAAACTCCTTGATTGCTCCTTAAAAGGTGTCTACACCGCTCCCTAAAACGACACCGCGCAGGGATGCGATCTGGACGACCGAGCAAAGGAGGTTTTTGGAACGTTTTTTCAGTGCATATTGACCCTCAAGTCTTCCGTTTCTTTCAGTTCGTTTAGGCTGGTCAGTTTCACAACTGATATAGCGTCAGCACAAGTTTAAAAAATCAGACTCACCCTGGCCCATCACGTGTATTCCTCACGATCGGGTATAATCCAGCCAGCGAGGAGCTCCGCGTCCCAGTCTCACCTTCGTAATTAATTCTGCCATCCTTGTCGGCGTCGGCCATCTCAATAAGCGAACTCAACTCCGATTCCGTCATCCGCTCCTCTATCAGCTCCATAGCCCGCCGCAGCTCGTCCTGCAGCGGCACGCGGGGTCATGTGACACGGGCGGATGACGCGAGTGAAACGACACGGGGTCAGATGAAGTGGGGTCAGATGACACTAAGTCAGCTGGCACGGGATGACATGAAGTGTGGCCAGATCAAATGAGTTAGGACGGCGAACGGGCTGAAATGTCCCGGGTTTAGGTGCCGCGCGGTCAGATGACGCGTCGTCCCACGCGGGGTCACTCCGGTCACACGGGTCACCTGACAACGTCTCACTCAGCGGGACCCGCATCAGGCTGAGAGGCCAGCAAACCAATCTGAAGAGAATGTGTTGTGAAAAGCCGGCCAGCGTAGTCTGGAACATTGCACTAGCGTGGTAATACAAACGAAAAAATGCTGGATGCGTTGTTGAGGCTCAGCAGAGTTCAGGTCAATGACTGGCTCATTGACAGTCTTATGTGCTCAAGTTGGCGCTGCGAAGTTGGCAGGGAAAGGCCCGAGGAGCAGGCGGATGGGGAGGAGGGCATGGGAAACTTTTGGAGGTACGTATTAGGAAAAGTTTGAGACTTTTGGCGGGGCCTGACATTCGCCCTTCAGCTATTTACCGGCCAAATTCTAAAAGCTAAGTAGACAAACACATTTCGTTTGATGTGTGTGGCTAAAACATTAATTTGGGTTGTCGGTATAACACCTTTGCAAGCGGTTCTAATTGATCGTTTACGTATTATGTGACCATTATCACCACTTGCATTACACGAATCACTTCCACCTATGAGCCTTTGCTACAAACACTCGGGACCAATTAGTCCAATATGGCAAGATCATCCGGCGTGTCTCATCCACGTTCCAGCAGCGGCACAGCGCCGTCCGTCACTACACCCACCATGGTGATGTAGCCGTTGCCGTCTTTATCGAAGAGGCGGAACGCTGCGAAGAGGTCGTTGGTCATGTCTGGCGTCTTGTCGGCCGACAAGGTCTGCATCTTGAGAAACCAGGTGATGAACTGCGCCTCACTGATCAGGCCGCCAGCTGCGAACAGAGACGCAGCGGCGTGGGTTCGATTCTGGCACGCATAACTTTTTGACGGGGCGTGTGGCTGCTGGACGCTTGCTGCATACCACCAGGGAAAAAAATGCAGGGCTAGAAGGAAGTCTGGTGCATACATTGCAGTAAAGTGCTAGTATTCCACTAAATATGCATTTGTGCGTTAGAATTCAATGTTACACAAAACTTTTGGCAGCCTGTGCCTGAGGGCAGCTTTGGGCAGATGCTATAATGACGAATGCTTTTAAAATTTACATAAAGATTATGTTCATAATTTTTGTAACAAGCTCTCAAGGAGTTGCATGCTGTATAATACTGATAGCACGCATCCCCTGTTAGCATAAATTCAGCATGTTCCACAGACGGATGATATGAGACGCCTGAACCGGTCCGGCCTCCAACGCACGACCATCCAATTTCCGATCCGAAACGTTGCCGACTGAGCTTCTGAAACCGCGCGGCATGTCCCTAAAGTCGGAGAATTCACGGCGCGCCGTGCGCGAGAATTTTGACCGGAACGCCTTGCGAGTTTGGCTTCTCGTCACAGAAAAGAGTCGAACGTATCGGCACTACATCGATAAGTCGGTAATCGGTAAGGCCGCATCAAAAACAGCACCATTTGCCAGCTCTTTGAAGATCGGTTTACTGCGACGCACTTTTGTGTTGTCTAGTTGGGACGTAATTAAACTTTGGCCAGCCTTCGCCGCTGTTGGCCGCGCAGCCCCGGAAATTACTTTTGCCTTCCAATTATATAAAATATCCGCCCTGACAGCATCACGGGCTGGGAGAGAAACATAATCCAGCCTCATCTCGATATACCAGCAGTGTGCAGCACGCGTCATTATTTTTTTCAGCACCAGGAAGCTGTGAAAGCTCACTTATTGGCTGTGCGGCTCAACCGATGACGTCATGATCGCTTGGATGAGTCCATTTTACGAACCTATCCCGGCGACCGCGGGCAGATGCGACGCGGGTGCACGGCTCTTCTAGAAAGGGCGGGTGTTAGTTATGGGGCCTGAGAACAAGGAAGATTCGCTCGTGTTCCTCTGTGGACACGTTAATGATGTGTGAGGTGCTCTCGGAATGGGCTTCTCTGCATGCGCGCGGCCAGGACCCCGCATGGGAATTTCCCCCCCCCCCCCCCCTCTCTCGTCAGAATGCAGCACAACTTTTTTCTTATGACAACTTCTTCTCATGACACTTTTGACAGATGGCACTTCCTCACACAGCTTTTTTTAAGGCAGTCGAGATGTGATTTTTTTCAAAATCACATCTGCCCCCTTCATTCCATAGTCCTGAGACATCCCCTACACAGATTTCTGTCTTTCACTCCATAGTTCCTGAGATGGTCCTCAGATCCATCCTTTTCCTTCATACTTTGGTACTGAACCCATGGTAAGACGTTTGACCCTTAGCGTGATGCTGCTGCCCCGGTCAGTGCCAGCCCCTCACCGTTCTCGCCCGCTGACGTCATGAGGTCTCCGATGAGGGCATCATCGACGTCGATGTCCAGTTTGTCCTGCAGCATCCGCTTCAGCTCGTCGGCGGTGATGCTGCCGTCGCCGTTCTTGTCCGTTAGTCGGAACACCATCTTCAGTTCTGTCGTCGCCGGTCATCACGCGGTCAGAAACAAGGACGATTCTAGGTCGTCATTTCTTGCAACAGGCTGAGAGGAAGTGGATTCTCTACGTGCACATCGACGCTTTCCCTATCAGTCCGCGTTATGAAAAAAGGTGAATCAGAACAAGGGTCGGAGCTTAAACTGCGTGACCATCGACGGTCAAATCTGGCCATAATGGTCAGCTTGACCAATGTTGACCTGAGAAGACATGACCTTGCGAGCCACCAGAACGATGGTAATGACCTTCAGAGTTGCAAGATCAGAAAATTGCTCCAGAAAACGTCTGTAGAGTGCATGTCCTGTGAGAAGCGTTAGGCCATTTTTAGCCAAATGCCACCCGCATGACCTGAACAACTAGGTTATAGGCCATGAACCATGAGGTTCAGAACTCTCACAATTGTCTAAAATGTGTAAAAATTAGTTTAGAGAACACGGCTAAAATTTCAGCACCGCGCGCAAAGCCGTTCAGAAATTACTCTGGAAAAAACTTGGGGAACATTTCAGAGAACTCCCACACTTTCGTAGTGCGAGGGTAAGTGGACGTAGCTTTTGCTTAATTTTGTCATTCAACGCAATTGGAGCATTACCCAAGCAAAAATATGTCCTCAGGAGCACCCATCATTGGTGAATGATGCTTCTTATGGATGCTGATGGGTGCTATGATACCAGTGATCACACATACGTACATTCTAACGGTATGTCAAAGCGTGCCCCGGCCGCGTTTAAGAGGTCCTAACGACTCTATCCAGCGCTAAAGAGGCCCTGAGCACCCTACCCAGCCAACAAGAGGCCCCGACGACCCGACCCAGCGTGTAAGCAGCCCTGATGACCCGGCCCAGCAAACAAGAGACCATGATGACCCGACCCAGCGCATAAGCAGCCCTGATGACCCGGCCCAGCGAACAAAAGCTGGAGAGCATGACCTGACATAAGCACGAACATGACCCGACCCAGCGTATAAGAGCCCCTGATGACCAGACCCCAGCGTATAACAGGCCCTGTTTACCGGGCCATCTTTGAACAACCGGCCATGTCATACTGGGATCACAGGCCATGACCTGAGCTCGCCATACCTTTGAGTTCGTTGTCCGACACCATGCCGCCCGCTGTCCTGTAACAAAATAGCAAGTGTTTTGTCAGTTATATTGTGGTCAGTATGGATCACGCCAATAGCAAGTCTGAGTGATATACAATTAGCAATGTCCTTCTGTCTCGAGCTCACAATCGTGGCGTACAGTTCTTACAAATTAAGACGCGTTGCAGTCAAATAAGTACCCTCCATCCCTCCATCCTTTCCTCCGCAAATTAAACCAGTTTCAAGTAATGATATTTGGTATTTGCTTGCTATAATAATGCCAAATACGGCACACGCACCATCAGAGGCAGGGACGGTTTTACACGGCTGCCCTGAAAGGCAGTGGTTACCAGGTTCAAAATCTGGCTGAATGCCCTGAGGCATTCCGCTGCTATGCAAACTGCAGACTTAAAAACCATCTCCTAAGTTGAGAGCCATCGGGACGTTGACTGCTCTGGCAGCGATGTTCAGGTGTACCGAACAAGTTCTTTAACAAACTTTTCTCTGAAGTGGTTTTCAACTCCCGATATTTGATCCTGCACGCATGTTGTCTTCAATCTTGAGGTATGTAAAGACATATGAGGTAAAATTTTGATTAACTGTAGACGGATGGCTGCTGATGATAAAGGCTAATGGCAATTATGCCAAATAAATTGTTCCCCAACGCAAATATGTGCTTGTGGCTGCGCGCACAGTATCCAGACGACTGCTGTCTCCAACGCCTGCAGCCTCCGGGCGCCTGCAGCCTTCAGACGCCTGCGGAATCTAGGCGCCTGCAGCATCCAGAAACCTGCAACCTCCAAACGCCTACAGCATGCGCTTGCGCCTTGTGCCCGAAGATAGCTCCATGACTAGGCTCGGCATCAGTGATAGTGTTTACGCATGCGCCATTCCTGAATTCAGGGAATGCTCCCGCATCTTTCAAAAATATTTGAAAATTGCACTCCAAAGAATCGCACTCGCAAGTGCCCAATGCCGCCTCACTGACTCAACCACCTCGACGAACCTGGTTCTGAAAAGTGTGTTCCCTGAAGGGGAGATTATTTTACCTTTTTATGCTTTGGCCATGCTAATATATCTCGTCTAGTTAGGGCGTCTGGAAAGGGTGGGCCTCAAAGGCCATTAATGTTATGTGAAAGTATTTTAAATTCGCCATAAAAAGCTATTTTATAGTCAACTTCAGAAAATGTGAAAAAACGTGCAATGCAGAAAACGAGCGAAAAGGTATTCAAACGCATAAAGTGGTACATTCGTGAAAGAAAAGAAAGGAACCTGCCTAGATCCACTCCTTCAAAATATTCCTGAACCGTTTTCCTGTGCAGAGCTCCAAAAAGCCACGTTCACAGGCGTCCCCCCCCCCCCCCCCCTCCACTTGACTGGATGCACTGCACGCACCTCTCTGTCAAACCGCTCAATGATATCGCGCCGCGGCCCCACCGGTGGGAGGCATAAACTAACAAAACATCTGCAAGAACCACCCCTGGCCCGGCCGCTCTCCTTACAAATCAAGGACCATTCCCGGGTCTGCCGCCCTCTCACCAATCAAGGACCATTCCCGGGTCTGCCGCCCTCTCACCAATCAAGGACCATCCCCGGGTCTGCCGCCCCCTTACCAATCAAGGACCATCCCCGGGTCTGCCGCCCTCCTTACCAATCAAGGACCATCCCCGGGTCTGCCGCCCCCTTACCAATCAAGGACCATCCCCGGGTCTGCCGCCCTCCTTACCAATCAAGGACCATCCCCGGGTCTGCCGCCCTCCTTACCAATCAAGGACCATCCCCGGGTCTGCCGCCCTCTTACCAATCAAGGACCATCCCCGGGTCTGCCGCCCTCCTTACCAATCAAGGACCATCCCCGGGTCTGCCGCCCTCTTACCAATCAAGGACCATCCCCGGGTCTGCCGCCCCCTTACCAATCAAGGACCATCCCCGGGTCTGCCGCCCTCCTTACCAATCAAGGACCATCCCCGGGTCTGCCGCCCTCCTTACCAATCAAGGACCATCCCCGGGTCTGCCGCCCCCCTTACCAATCAAGGACCATCCCCGGGTCTGCCGCCCTCCTTACCAATCAAGGACCATCCCCGGGTCTGCCGCCCCCTTACCAATCAAGGACCATCCCCGGGTCTGCCGCCCTCCTTACCAATCAAGGACCATCCCCGGGTCTGCCGCCCTCCTTACCAATCAAGGACCATCCCCGGGTCTGCTGCCCTCTTGCCAACCAAGAACCAGCACCAACCTGTCCGTCTTCCCAACACATCAAGGACCATCCCCCGACCCAGCCCGCCCCTTAACCAATCAAGGACCATCCCCTGCTCAACCGCCCTTTCCCGAACCAATCAGCGCGACCGAAGCCCCAAGCGGGCCACCCGGTCAACCTCCAGAGTCGGCCAGCGGCTGAGGTCAACCTCAGAGGCGGGCCTAGGGTACACTCCCCGCGACGGTTCAAAACCGGGCGACTCCGTATCTCACGAACAGGAAACTAGCGTTGTTAATGACTATACTTTTGTTCCATGCTTAATACGCGCCCGGGTGGCCGGCTAGATACCATTCGCTTGGGGGGGGGGGGTCAATTTGACCCCCGAGATCTCGGGAACTGAGAAAGCTAGAGACACCAGGGTCAAACTTTCAGGTTCCTAGGTCATGGCTTTCGGGTCACAAAAGATAAAAAAGGTCCAGTTCTAGGTTGGTCTCCAACGTGCCCCCAGCACCTAGCTAACCGTTTTTTAAGCAAAATATCACATGCTCATTCAAGGTCAGTAACCTTGTTTGACCTTTTGAAGGTCAGAGTGACCAAAATAATACAATACTGCTTTGAGTTTTGCGTTTGACTAAGCGGCAAATATTATGTTAGATAGCATGTTCCTAAAACCAAATGTTGACCTGGGTCATTTTAAGTCAGCAGCCTATTCTCACATTTAAGAAGTCAATGGAAGGTGTATAATCCCTTTCTTGTTATCAATAAATTCGAAAGAAGCACCAGAACCTACCCCATACAGCAAGCGCTAGAGTAATACAACAGGTATGGTTTTGACCTTGGTCTGACCTTCATGTCCGACCCTAGGTCAATGGAATTTGTTCATTCAATCGCTGTGTTACCTAAGAAAGTATCTCAGAGATGCATGGCTTCGTCTAACACTCAGTTGTTGGATCAGACTGAACGATTCCCTAGAAACTGCCTTCGCTGAAACCGTGGCCTGGCCTGCCATAGGTCAACGACGTTACAACGATCTCAAATTTTACTGCCAGACGATCCGCTATTCAATCGTCTACAGCTATGCAAAATTTGTCGCGGCTGTGCCGCGTCGTTCGGAAACCATTCCGGAAAAACCTTCGGGGGGTAATTTTGACCCCCACCCGAGCGTGTGTTAAAATATGAACAAGTTATGGACTCGTAACAGTGTCTGGGCTTTGTACAACACACGAGTGTTCTTGGTCATCTCCGCAACAATACCAACCCACTTTTAACCAGATTACAAAGGAAATATAAACCAACTTTCACAAAACCACTCCAAACCTGCCTACACGCAACGATAACAGAGCAGAGCAAGGAGGGGGGGGGGGGGGGGAGGGATCTAGCCTTGCGCAGCGTGTTACCGCAGCGTACAACATCGCGCACAAAACACGGCTTACCAGATAATTTGGCCTCCGCTCTTTCGACGGACGAGAAGAGTTTTAGAGCCGCAGATTGCTGCGACGCGGACCCTGCAGCCTAGTCTGATGCTCGGTGATCTGCTGCCAGCTGACCTTCCTATGTCAGGCGGGCCACACACTGCGCTCGCTCTGGGACTAGTACCAAGTGCAGCCAGAGACCGGGGTCAGCATGTTTTCTCCCGGGCCTTCAGGACGGTTTCTAGGGCTTTTTCCGTTGGGCCGGAGCTCCTCGACGAAGTTAGTGGGTCCAGG